TTTGTTTTTGTTTGTTTTTTCGCACCAATCACTAAGACAAAAGCAAATGCGAAATACTATCGACACTTAGGAGAAAGCCGCTCGAGGGGAAAACACCTCATCGTGTAACATAACACTTAGCCTGTAAAATGCCTTTTTTTTTCTATAGCTGGCAAGAAATGGCTGAATATGATCTGCCGGCCATGTTGAACCATGCACTGAACGTGAGCGGAGAGAAGCAGCTGTTTTATGTGGGTCACTCCCAGGGAACTCTGATCGGCTTCACAGGATTCTCTAGCAATCCCCAGTTGGCGAGCAAAGTAAGGATGTTTTTCGCCTTGGCTCCAGTCTACACCGTTGGATACTGCTCGGATTTCATCATCTCCGCTGCGTACGCCTTGTATCCAATAATAGTGAGTTGTATTTTATAATATACGCTGGTCTACAGACTTATACCGTAAATCTTTGGTGCTCTTTATTTTTTTGCTGTCAATTTTGACATTGCGCGGAAGTAGTCTGAGTTCGAGTGCTGAAGTGAATAACTTTGTGTTCTTGGTCTTCTTAATTAGGCATTACTCTTAACTCTCACAAAAGCTTTCTCCAGCCAAACAGCTGTGTGGTATTGGGGTAAAATGAACTAATACTGGGAGAAGAAGAAAGTAGCCGCGGTTGAGTAGCATCCTCTCCAGAGTAGGGGTGGAGCGGGGGGAGGGGGAATGAGAAGTACAACTAGTCGCTTCTTGCTATGGAACCAGGAGTTATGTGCCGGTTGTGGTGAGCCATTTTGATTTAGGTTCAGTTAACCTTAAGTGTTAAATCGTGAGTAACGTGCCAAACTTCAGCCTTCAGGGCTAGAAATACGCTCTTGGATTACTATACAGTACATGAGGCAGACATCTTTGCCCTGAAGAAGGGCTGACACTCGAAAAGTCAGCTACACGAATTCACTATAGCTGTTAACTTAGCTTTTTCAACATCGTGTTGATTACTGTCTAAGTTTCTCACCTTTGTTCATCTATATACTTTAATCTTGCAAAATGACTGTCCTTCCTCCGCAGCGAGTTTTCCCGACCCTCAAGGGTGGAAAAATGATGACTAATGAGCTCATACAAATGCTGACGGAGAAGGAAGTGTGTGGCGGCGACCTTTCGGAGAAGGTCTGTTACGACTTCGCAGAAGAGCTGTTCGGATTTGACAGCGCCAACATAAACATGGTATGAACCCATTGACAACACTATCCTTAGGATGAAGCATCTTCAGAGACCCAGGGGTAGGAAAGTGGGGCGGGCGAAGTAAACCTGGCAAAATTTCAACGGAAAAAAAGTATACAAACAAGGCGGTAACTTTCGTCGCTTCGATTTATGCTGGGTTTACTTTGTCACGCCATAACTTACTGCTCATGGCTTTCCGAGGATGAGGATGGAAGCACAACAGTATAACTGCATTGAAAGCTGATTAATAACACGGCAAGAAAAGACCGAGGTGGAACTCCAGTCCTAAAGCAACATTTTTCGTACATTATGTTTTCTTCTTCAGGCTGAAACTTATGAAGAATGTACTATTTTTGAGGTTATGAAAATTTATCGTTTTGAGAAAGGTGTGTATTGAAAGAGGCAGCAAAATTGTTTTTACTTTTTTGCTAACCGTTTCAGTTCATCTCTTTACGGAAACAAATTTCAGTCCTGTGCACTGGATCCCTGATATGTCCTCTTGTTTTTATACGATAAAGATATCAGTAACCACCGTGTGAAAGAGGAGTTGAAGAGTTCGACCTTTTGCTTAGCATTGTTTAGACGAATCCATACAGTTTACAAAAAGAGGAAATTAGTCTTTCTATAGCATACTTCGATCGAAATATTGGAGTTTAATATTTAATATACTAACATCGTTATTTCTGATTTCTGTTCAGTCGAGAGTCCCTGTCATCTTGTCTCACTGGGGATCCGGCACGTCATTTAAGAACTTTGTTCACTTTGGCCAGGTGCGTTTACTTGAAGATGATCACTAGTCGGTGCTTTAATTTTTATTCCCTCACTTTTTCGTACCCCTCTGTACTGCGCCCACAACGCTGCTATGAGCCAATCTCGGTGAAATAAACAATTTTGTGCCATTGTTTTTGAGTACCAAGATGTGATATTAGCTGGGTATGAGTAGACTTGTCCGTTGTTGAGAAAATTGAGCCTGCGCTCCTCTCCCAAGCGAGACCAGTCTCAAGAAAGCGGGGCCGACAGAAAGCTTAAAAAATAGGACTAGCGTCCCATCCAGGGTAGACTAAAAACGCTCTTAGTCGCGGACTGGGATTATTCAACAGAATACTGAGTTTTGCTAACTTATATTCACACTCTTCTCATTAACTTAGAGGACTTAATAGTCTTAACAGTTGTTGTCAAAGTGTTAACGATTACTGATTGCCGTTTACGTTCTGTTACAGATGGTGCTGTCAAAGAAATGTACTAAGTTCGACTATGGATTCTTTGGCAATTTTAGACGTTACTATCAGGTACTCGAGATCCTTTTCTTTTCCCTCGTTACGTTTTATTAACATAGATCCAGTCGTTTTAATGTTCAAGTTGTATTACAGACTCCTAGTTCTGATTGAAATTTGGCCGTTAAGAAGGGAGAGCGCATATTGATACTTCGATACTCGAAACGGGGGCTTAATAGAAAGACGGGCTATCTAGCTCTCATAAAAAATAAAGAAACGTGATGGGCAATGTTCCCACGGCAATATTTGTTTACTTTATATTATTTTATCTCTTTGCCTTCAATGCAGCTCGGACCTCCGGAGTACAAAGTGGAAAACATGCAGACTCCGACAGCACTTTTCTCAGGTTCAAATGACAAACTGGCCAGCCCGAAAGATGTAGAACTCCTAAAAAACCGATTGACAAACATGAAGTACTTCAAGGAAATCGAAGGTTGGAACCACGCTGATTTCTTATTCGGCAACGATGCGCCTCAACTCCTGTACTCAAAACTCCTGAATATGATGGAAACGGATCTGACCCTGGGAACAAACATGGTCGAATTTCAATTATTTGACGAGAAATGAGCTGAGTTAATTGAATTAACTTGAAAGTAAAGCTTTTTAATGTTATTGTATTTTATTTCCTCTTTTATTGTTTACGAGGGTGAGAAGTTAATTATGGGGCCCGCAAACTGCAAGGGTTCACGATTATCTACAATCTTTTGTTTTGCGCGCTCACGCTACGGTTGAACTATGTAATCGTGCAAGTATTAAGGAATGACTTCATCGCTATTTCGCTCTATGTGCTATACATAGTTACGAAAATATAACTAATAAAAAGTGGGCAAACGACGTTATGCAAGTGTCATTCATTGTTAAGTACTGTTGTGATAATCATTGTGAGTTAACTATACCAGAAACGCTGGTGGACAACCTCCTTCCCGCTGAGCAAGGGAAAAGGTCCTGGGAAGGAGGTTGGCTGGTGGGGGACTGATACGAGGCCGCACCCTCCCTAATGTTGCCAAGTAACGACCTACGCTAGCGGTAAACCACGTGACATGCGCAGTGAATAAAATTACACTTTTTGCAGATTAAGTTCAAGCAATAAATTGTCTAGGTAAACACGTGCATAACTCTAAAATACGAACCGTCTGACTCGTAATAATAATACTAAATACTTAATAAGTGTAATTATCATGTCCTACGGTATACCCATCTGTAACAGACCTGGCGAAACCCGACATGGTGGGTCATTGAAATTTTGACCTCCCTGGCCCCTGCTGGTTTTTTTTTTTTCCTGGTCAATTTTTTTTCTCCCTTGTGTAGAATTTAGTTACCCTACCCTCCCTGGCCCCTACAAGAAAAAGTCTTGAGTTTGGAATTCCATTGTGTTTTTTCAGTTATATGGAAAAGAATGGAAATATTTCAAAAGTTATCTGTGTGTGGGGGGTGGGGGAGGATATGCAACGAGACCCCCTCCCTGTATGAATCGCGTTTAACGTCGTAACGCACCATGTTAACTAATAGCAACTTGTCACACAGCACTGAGTTGTTTTTTTTTTTGTCCTGCGCATTTTTTTCGGGACATCACCATATGCGTTTTATTGCGTCACATTTCGTTACAATTTATTTCACAACTTTCATTCAACTATTTTCTGCACTAGTAAATCAGTATATAAAAGCAAACATTGTTACAAGAACGTATAACAGTTCATTCAAATTAAGATCTAATCATTTTTTTCAGTCCTTTTCGTTTTGTGGTGATATTCCATGAGAGCTTTAACGTCTGTTAAAATCAAAGTCTGCAATGCAAAAATATGGTGAACATTATCAACTATTTATAACTATTATGATATTTTATTTCAGTATAGTTTTAATATAGCATCCATCATGTTTCGAACCTGCACTTATGCAGATCTGTTTGGCGTCAATTTGTTTCAGCAGTTTCGGAAAAAAATCTTAGGCAAAAACCAATATCCATTTCACCTAAGCCCGCCCGCCATTCATTATCTAACAAAGGAAAAATATCTTAATTGACACCTTCTAAAAGGCTTTGCCGATATTAAGATAAATCACACTCACGGAGTTTTCAAACTGACCTTTAACTATTTATAAATCTTAGTCGTCATATTTACAACCAGAAAAGGGCGTTTTGAGGTCATCTATTGATTGTGAAAAAAAAGTATTGCTAATACTCAGATAATGTGCTGGCGACTTATGTAAGTATGTTATGCAACCATTTTTGACTTCTTTTACACTTATTTAGCACTTTTTTACTTTTTTATGGTCATTTGTGGTAAAATCCTTTTTGTCGTTCAACTTGGATCTAACTTTGCCGGACCAGGAATTACAATTCACTGATAGGCTGGTCTTCGTTATACATTATTTATTTAAAAGGATAACGGGATCAAAATATTATTAAGCAACTTCTCTAATTAATCAGTTTTATGAAGTAAATTTTATGCTTATTGTAATTTTTATGCGATTTTAAAGTCTTCAACCATAGAGAATTTTCAAGTCATCGTTTTTCTTCTTCTTCGTGCAGTATCGGTGACAACCTGCACGTCTTTAAAGTATTTCAATTTACTGGATTTGTCGTGTACTCCAAACATAATTGACAAATTAAGAGAATAATGAAATCTTGGTTTAAGTTTTATTTCAAGTGTCCACATATTCAATCAAAACTGAGCAAGGAATTTACGGAATTATTTAACCAAAAGCTCGTGTTTCAGTCATCATGGTTCTTTAAGCATGTTTAGTTTAGCCAGTGGTTGAACTACGATCATATCACACGTCTTGCGTAAGTTAGTTAAACATATCAGGAAGTTAACTTGATTGGTTCCGAAAGCTCAAAACATTGTACCCGAAGCAAAGGCGAAATGTTTTTAAGTTTTGGCTCTGTTCGAAATCGGGAATTGAAAAACGAATTTAGTCGTGCAACTGCGTGTAAACTACAAATCTCGTTTTAGAAAAAAGTATTTGTTCTTAATTTTTTTCTCACCCTTTTCCGTTGCGTCATCAAAGGATTCTCGCATTTGCTTTTTCCTGAGATAATCTGCTTTAACTCGCTCTATCTTGGGATTTTCTTCTTTAAATTCTCTTCCCCATCGAAGTCCTTGCGAGGAGGCTGGTTGCAGGCAGACTGAGACGAAAACGCACGAAACAAGAAGAATGACTACGAGACTTTTAGCTTCCATTATTCGGCCTGGAACAGAGAAAAGAAAAACATGATAAAATGGAATAACGTCAATATCAGTGAAGAGATATAAGTTCTATGGATCTTGAAATAATTAATGGCTTAACCTTAAAAATGTTCGTGGAAAATTGCTTTTAGGCATAGCTGTCAAATGACTGGTTCGTCCAAACAAGCGGACACCGAAATATTTCAGTTTCAAAGTTACTGATTTACCTTCGCCATAAGTAACATCGTGATCTTTCGTTGTAACCTGAGAACGCGGGCACAATTCAGTTTTCAAAAAGTCAATCAAAGTTTTAAGAAAATGTCTTTCTGAAGCGCGAAAGTTTAAACGCTCAAGAACGAAAATGAATTCGACTTGAAGTTAATTCAGTTGGCCGTTTTCCAAAATATCAAATCACAACGAAACAAGAGCTATACAGGAAATGTAGAACATTTCAAAGATTCGTATCCACTAGAGTCGCTAGCAAAATGTCAAATCCATCAATCCTTACCGGGAAACAGGTTTGTTAGCGATGTTCTTCCGTTAAATGTCGTAGAAGGGAATGCAACTGGCAATCCTATTCACTAGCTTATATTGCCAATGCTCTGGGTAATGTGGCTCGTTTACACAGATTAAACAGATTAAATACTTGAAATTAGCACTAAATGATGGCTGCCTAATTTATCTTACTAACTTCCGCATTAAGAACAATAGGAAAAAGAAAATTTGACACGACTTAAGGGGCGAAATCCACCGGCTGTCACACAGAAAAGGTCAGGTGTGCTCCTATCGGATTCAGAAAAATGCTTTTAGTCTTGTGTCGGCAATACGCCAATTTAGAGAACCAAAAATGAATTTAGCTCACTCAGCTTATGCGGTTAGATTTAACGAACTCACCACGCAGGCGTCAAAACTGTCATGAGACAGATTTCTCAAATAACGTCAATTTTCTTACCGAGGAAGTATCAGCTTAGTGCGTGTACGTCAAGTGAAGATTTGTTCATACAAAGATAATTGCTAAATTGAATCTTTGCAAACAACTTTTTGTTTCCTTTGTTGAAGAATAATTTGATTCACGGTTTCGAGGGAAATAAACTGTTGATGTCCTTTTATAGAACCGATTCTGTCACCGACTTTATCTTCTTTTGAATTTCAATTCGTACCAAACAAGATTCAAGTTTTTTCATGCATTTTTTCGACTCAACCTTGTCTACAGCTTTCAACTGGAAAGGAAGATATCGCATTAAATGGTGAATTAAGTTCTTATTTTTATTCAACAATGGAACCTTCGGGCACTGAAAAGAGGAAGAGTGTAATTTAAATCTTCTTTATTATTTACTGCTCTTAATGGGCTAAATGATTTTATTCACAGTAGAGAGGTACATGAACAAGCCCTAATTTTCTTCGCATCCAATTAATCGAAGAGCAGAATCCTTTTACAACCTTTCTTGTCAACAGTATAACTTCTTTCTTTTCGAGAGCTATTAATTAATTGCTTCTAAAATCTTTGAACTTTTGCCGACCTCCCAAGATGTCTTAAAATGGTTTAAATAAATGTATGCAAACACTGTTGGATCGGGAACAAAAAAAGCTTTCAGCACCAAGTTAGCGAAAGCTAATGAAAATAAAAACCTGAATGACTATCTTCCAAAGACCAATTTGTATCTTCGGAAACAAAGGTGGAAAGTACTGTTAACTCAATGATAGGTCTACTTTAAATTTTAATTTTGAGTGATTCGTAGTCTCCTCAAGAAATTTAAATTCTTACTTTGAGAGGTCTATGCATGGAAAGGTAAGATTGTAATCTTTGCGGATATTGACAGCCCGTCTGAGAAATAAATGTATTACATATATTGTGTGTGCATATCATTATCAGCATGCAATAATACCAGTACTGATCACATTCCCAAAAATTGATGATAACAAACCAACGTATATATCAGTGAAACACATAAAATATATACTATCAAGAAATGATAGACAAATCATAGATTTTAGCACTGAAAGTTTTTGGCCGAACAATATAAAGGAGAAAGATAATTTTCAATTCCTATCGAGATACTCAAACTCAGAACTGAATTGAGTTCAATGTATACGACGAACGCGATCTACAAAATTTTTCACGTAAAGAAAAGAAAATATTTAACCGAATTGAAAAATAGATTTTATGTACAGGGAGCATTTTTGGTAAACAGGACATAAAAAGTACTTATGTATGTAAACGGAAGCAGGGAATGTGCGGGCTTTAGTGGGCTTGTTTGCGTGCGTCTCAACAGGAATTGTATTTTCCGCTTTCAGTTTTTAAGTCTCGTGAACTTTTAAGTGCCAGTTCGAATTCATCTTTTGGATTTTACCTTTTTTTAACAGTGATGGAACTGAAAATGTATTAGCTAAAGGAAACAAAAAAATAATATATATATACTTTTATTTTATAGTCTTATCGCTCATGTCACATTTGGTGCGAGCGTTGCTAGAGCTGAATCTGTAGATGTTGTAGCTGATGTACTACAAGGAAGAATGCAAGACGTACCTTTTGCTTATGTTTTTTTCTTTTCCTCAATTCGTTTTTCCTCAAAGCCTGGTTTTGCAGCACCTTGTCGACTGTTATCACGTTTGCGTGCTTTGCACTGACGTATTCTTTGAGAGTTTTAACGTGATTATTCAGCTGTTCTATGACCCCCCATCCCCCCCCCCACCCCCCACACAGACATAATATCACTGAAATCTATACGACTACAGAATTATCATATTCTTTTTGGTTGGCAATTTTGTATTTTCCTTTTAATGTGTTTAGGCGTACAACCATTTCCAAGAACCAGGTTTTAATAAAAGCTTATAAAAATAAAGTTATGAATTTTCTTTTCATCATCCCGGCTTATAAGAAAGTCATTACACACAAAATCCAACTGCATTCACTACACGGGAGTGTTTCCCACCCTGTGGGGTAGAGGGACTTACTTTCTTAAAGACGCTTTAATTTTCAAAGGTAAAGAATTTTCCATAACTATTCAACTTGAAGAATTGAATAAACCAAGACAGTAGCAACTCTAAATTACTGGTAATATCTCTATTTTCAGTTTACGTCTGTGAAGGCTAGTTTTAATCTGATCAAGAAAAACGAAATGAAAAATTTTCATTGAGTTTGTCCGTTCCCCCTAACTACAAACTGAAGTAATAATGAAAAGGAAAATCTATTTACTTTGTGGTTAAATTGTCTTTTGTAAATAATTAAAAAACACATTTTCAGCAGACTGTTATGTGCTAACCCTTGAAATAAGTGCATGACAAGGGCGTTTCTCGTTATATCCTGCGGCTTGAAAACATTTTAATCTTCCATTTGTAATTAATTTTTCATGTAGGAAGTGTTCGACGAAATAAAGCATAACATCTCTATAACACCTCATGCCTACGGATTCAAAGCTGTAAGATGGTCATTAACCTTAAATAACCTTAGTACCATCCATGTTGTGAAAACATCTTCACTTAAGTTTCGCATTTTAAAAGCATATTCCAATTTTTTGTTAGCAATGGCTGGAACTTTTCAGTTGTTTCCCTATTTCACTGAGTCTACGTTAACGATCAATGAAACTACTATCGTTTTTGTTCGAGGCCAAAGAACTGTTTGATATTGTAATGCCTCAAGAGTTTTTCATCGTGGGTATTTCTGTTTTGTAATGCAGGAAATCTGGCACCTTTCCTTTCAACACTGCATATCGTGCTTTAGGCGTCAGGCCGACTGCCTCTTCATCTTTGGTTAATAATTCATTAGAACTGACTTCCGTGACCTAACACCAAGAAATGAAGATTGTAGAAATAAAGGAAGAATGATCATACAGCGATAAAGATCGGGACAATATGCGTCACCGTGTGTAGATTTAGTTCATGCGGTTGCTTTTGGTGCATCAGCTTTAGCCCAAGAATGCTGGTACGACACCTAAATTAATAAAAACGATAACAATGGTAGCGGTTGGTATATATAATCCTTCACAAAATAACGAAGCAACTTCAAAAAGTCGAATGAAACTCGTCTTTGAAAAAGGTAACGGTACACTTCCGCGAGATTCCTAGTTCATTTGCCCGCATGCTTGTTTGTATGTGTCATCACGTTAGATCTCTTGAAAAACCTGACAAAATTATTGCTGGTTTTCAATGTTGTGCCATCAAAAATAAATATCGTAACCATTCAATGAAGGAATCTAGGATATAATAGATGATTAGTATAAAAACAATCTCGCCAAGGTTAAGATCTGTGCGGTTTTCCATCATTCCGCGCGTTATTCACTCATATTTTTATATATATAAATAACTCCAAGGTAGTCATTATTGAATACGGTCATCTGCGAGATATAGTTTCCCTCTCCATTATAAGAGGTTATGTTTTTCATAATTAGTCCAATCTGACAACCCGATAAGTGTGGATAGAAAATACAAATTAATTTGTTTGAACTGTCGATTTGCCTTGGAGCTATTTAAGCCAAGGAAGGGAGTTATTATTTTTCCAGTTGTAGATGAACAATTCATGTAGTGTTCAAATCTAGATGCTAATGTGTGTTACTCAGGGATGTTCAGTAGAAATTCAACGGGTAACCTCGATGGTATACCACTAACATCAAGATGTTAATTAATGAATCATCCAGATTCATTTTCAGATTAATCAAGAAATATCAAACAAGCCTGCATGTATACTGTTTCCTTCAACTATAATCCAGCTCTGATATGAACCACATCGAATGTCAAAGGGGCATTTCTGCAGCAATCATTTCTTGCAGTGGATTTTGAACGCTCTCATGTTTACATACATGTAAATGAGTCAGATAATTCCCGTTTTTAAGCACCTTTTAGCAAATACAAAACAGCCCCAAGCTTTCCTGTCTCTCATGCACAAAGGCATTTGAAGTGCTCTGATATCTAATCTTTCTACTGATCAAGATCACTGATCATGCACTCTACTTCGCATAAATTTCTATTTTGTACAGGCGTGTTATGCAAATTTATTGCCAGGGGCAGCAATCTGCTGTGTTAATTTGTGTCCTATATAACAAGGTGCGTTCTAACTCGAACATATCTGAAATTCAAGATAGACGAGCTGTAGTTTAAACTTTGAACGCCTTGACAACATCAAAAATATTGGACGCAGGGCACGAAACTTGAATACGGTATTTGCTTACGTCTCTTCTTAGCCGAATTCATTGATTTTCTTTAATTACATTTATTATTCCTTTAGTTCATGACCATAATATGATGCGAGAATAACTTTGTTATTTTTTCGTAATAATTAACCTATCGACAAGAAATTAGCACCACCCTCAACATTTAGTACCTTTTACTTTCTTGATCATAACCTTTGACATATGAAGAAAGTAATGACAATATTGGTTTGTTTTTCGCATAGTTTTGTTTCAGTACACAAAACAGTTTATGTCAGTTTTAGAAAAGTAGTAAATCAATATAACACTAAATAATCAAGAAAACTTTACATTCTTACTTCCTAGCTTTCACCTGTTTTAATTATTGAAATTGAAATTAGAAATATATTTTACAGTACTTTCTAATTTTACGTTTTAGATATCAAAACTTAAAGGGCTTAAGAGCGTTTAAATAAGACAAATTTATGCGTGTATTGTAGCTCAGGATAAAGATACAGAGAAAATAATAATAATAAAAAACTTAACATAAATTACAATATTTAGAGAGGAAGCCATTATCCTGGTTGGAATTCGAATTTGGAGATTTTGGTTTTTGAAAAATTGAAAAATTTGATTAGGAGTTTAAAAAA